AACCAGCAGATAGAAGACCACTCTTTCTGTGTCTCATTCTCTTTGTAACTCTACCTCTCAAATAGATACATAAATTTTTTTAAATTAAACTAGGGGAGACATATTGGATCAGTTTCCTAGGACTGCCATATTAAATGGCCATGAACTTGATCGTCAAAGGAAAAAAATTTCTCTCCCAGTGTAGGAGGCTAAGATTTGAAATTGATGCATTGGCAGAACTGTGCTCTCTGAAGACTCTGGGGGAGATCCTTTCTTTGCCTCTTCCTAGTTTCATGTAGTTGTCAGCAATCCTTGGCATTGTTGGCTTGTAGATGAGTCATTCCAACCTCTGACTTCATGTGATCATCTCCTCTGTGTCTCTGTGTCCAAATTTCCCTCTTCTATGGATTTACATCATATCAGATTCAAGACCTTCCCTAATGACTTCATCTCAACTTGCTTGCATCAGGAAAGACCGCACTTCGAAATAAGGTTATGCTCACAACTTGAGTGGACGTGAGTTTGGGGGAGACAGTACTCAAACCAGTACACATACCAAGTAAGAAACCAACGCTAGCTAACAAAATTGTGATTATTGAATCCTAACAGCAACCCTTAGAAAGATATTCTTCTCCTTGAATAACTGAAATTTAAGATTTAATTTACCCAAAGGGCAAGCAAGGAACTGAGTCACGATGTAAACCTCCCTGATCTGACTTTAACATCTAGGCAAATCATTGGCAATCTCCTAAGAGCTGAAAGGAGCTGGTTCTGACGAACAAGTTTGCCAGAGACCACTCCAGCCAGTCCTGGGACCCCAAGGTGTGAGAGGTGTCGGTGCTCGAAGAAATGAGAGATACAGCAAGGATGATGGCATGGCTCTGGCTTTCGAGCACCAGACTTTATTTTTATATCATGTCACACGATGAATTTTTTCTTCTTACAATGAAAAGTCTGTTGTCCATTTTTTTAAAATTACAATTTCTTTGATTTTCAAGGGCATATTTAGACACGGGTTACAATCATAGGTGTGAGATAACGGGCTGCCCACACAAGCTAAGACCTCGAGTGCTGCTGAACTATGTAGAAACTGGCTACACAAGCTAGAATTGTACCTTCCTAAACTACTCTTTATTAGAAGCCCAAGTTCAAAGCAGACCCTTTTTAAAAATGTATCCCCTCTTTGAAGTTCTTTTTTTAATTCTTTAAATAAGTACAATAAAGAAATTTAAGGTTCACTTAGATCTGTTCTATAGTTTTGACATCCTAAGCATTGTAGTATTTGTAGCATATAGTGAATTAAAGCTTTATTAACATTTATCTTTATTCTAGTGGGAAGTATATACCAGAGAGCCTGTTATCTTTTAATTCTTTTTCACAAACAGCTCAACCTTGCATAAAGCATTAAGTCGTTCTCCTACAATAACATTTTGCTTGATTAAAATTCTACAAAGCAATGGACATTTTGTGGGTTATGAGACTAAGTGTTCTTCCCTAAAATTAGGAATACAGCAGTCATTAGTGGGACCACTAGGAAGCTCCGGCTTTCTTATGCAAACTGTAGTTCCCAACAAACCTAAAACCACCAAGAGGACCATAGCTGTCCTTCTCACACCTTGCTGAGACAGATCTTCTGCTATGACCTTGTCAGCCAGCCGAAGTTACTTTGGCCTCACCAGAAGTTCTCTGGACAGTGTTGGGGAAGGAGGTCTGTAGGTGGAAAGGGTTGCAAAGTAGGCAAGCAATTGTGTCCTGGAGCTGCCTCTTTGCATATTTTCTTGGATGGCCAAGTTGGAAGACCCTTATAGCCAATCACCTCAGATTCAGAAGAAGGTGCAGAGAAACTGAATGGCTTCCCCTTGCCTGACATCTGGCTGATGAAAGATCCTAGGCTTCAGTTCACATCCTTGGCCTCAGGTTCAGCACTTTTATTTATTTGTATATTTCTTCCTGGTAGTGGCCCCAGGAAAGGATGGAAGATCATTAGCTCCCAGACATGCACCTGTATCTTGCCTGCGTTTAGCAGGCATTGAGATATATTCAATAGGTCCTTGTCCTGTTGGACAGCTACTTACCCACAACCAAAGACCAGAACTCACATCCCAAACATAATTGCTAACCTGATAGGAAATTTGATAAGAAATGAAGTGGTAGAGGTTTCCTTGGAGAAGAGGGTGGCAGCATGGATTCAATCTGGAGAAAGGTGCATAAGCATAAAGTCTAGGTGCCAAGTTTGATACACATGAGACCCTGTCAGGAGGAGCTATGTAGACAGTGGGCAGTACTATATTCAACCTGGAATAAGATTGGTCATCATTATCAGTTACTCTGGACAGTTTCTAGAATAACTGTGATTCAAAAGCACATAAAAACATGTTTCCTCTTGTGCCACTGCCAAGGCTTGGAGGCTGAATGTCCTGCCCTGTCTGCCCTCATCTACACCATAGCCAAAAAAACCCTTTCAATTCATAACCTTATTGTGGCCCTCCCTTTGATGCCTGCCCACCCCCTTCCCCCATGACCTTCATTATAAATGTCAGAATTCTTATCTATGCACAAATGTCCCTGGGATCTGATGTCCCTGTCCCTTCAGGTCTATGTCCTACCATCAAGCAAACAAATCATGCATGTACACACATTCACACTTTCCTCTTTCTGGCTCACTTTCGATCTCACAGATCTGACTATATCCCTCCTCACCTTGGTGCCTTTGCACATAAATGATGTACCCTCCTATCTGTTTCCTTTTGTATTTTAAGTTTAATTGTCACTAAGGTGCTTGTCCATCTAAGTCTAGGAATCTACATGCATAGGTCAAAAAGATACATAGTCATTCGTTAGTATCCCTGGAGATTAGTTCCAGGATCCCGAATCCACAAATGCTCAAATCCTTTACATAAAACAGCATTGCGGGGCCAGAACTGTGGCACAGCAGGTTAACGCCCTGGCCTGAAGTGCCAGCATCCCATAAGGGCGCTGGTTCAAGGCCCAGCTGCTCCACTTCCAATCCAGCTCTCTGCTATGGCCTGGGAAAGCAGTACAAGATGGCCCAAGTCCTTGAGCCCCTGCACCCACGTGGGAGAACTGGAGGAAGCTCCTGGCTTCTGACTTTGGATCGGCACAGCTCTGGCCGTTGTGACCAGTTGGGGAGTGAACTATCGGATGGAAGACCTCTCTCTCTCTCTGCCTCTCCTCTCTCTGTGTAACTCTGACTTCCAAATAAATAAATAAATCTTAAAAAAAAAAAAAACAGCATTGCACTTATACAGAACCTACACATAACCTCCCTCATAGCTAAATCATCTCTAGATTACTTTAAAAGATTTATTTATTTATTTAAAAGTCAGAGTTACACAGAGAGAGGAGAGTCAGAGAGAGAGGGAGGTCTTCCATCTGCTGGTTCACTCCCCAATTGGCCGCAATGGCTGGAGCTGCGCCTATCCAAAGCTAGGAGCCAGTAGTTTCTTCTGGGTCTCCCACGTGGGTGCAGGGGCTCAAGGACTCGGGCCATCTTCCACTGCTTTCCCAGGCCATAGCAGAGAGCTGGATCAGAAGTGGAGCAGCCGGAACTTGAACCGGCGCCCATATGGGATAGTGGCACTGCAGGCCGTGGCTTTACCCCCTATGCCACAGCGCCAGCCCCTCTAGATTACTTCTGATTCTTAACACATAGTAAATGCTGTGTAGGCAGTTGTCTACTATGTTATGTAGGAAATAATGACAAGAAAAATGTCTTCAAATTTTCAGTACAGGCATAACTTTTCTCCAAATAATTTTGACCTCTGTTGGTTGATTCTACAACATGCAACATTCAGATATGGAGGGCCAAATATACGTGTGAGGACACAGTTGTACAGAAGGATAGTTGTTTGTATAAGAATGCTAATGCCTTTGCTTTTTGCTTTAGAGAAATAGAAATACATCTATCCATGGTAGGTAACTTGGGTCCCTTCATTCTGTGTGCTGAGCAGCTCATAAAATGGTGACAGATATGTATAGATGGCTGTGGAAAGATCTCCATAGCACATGGTACTGGGTACCCTGGGGGTGACATGGGTGACCCGTCCTGCAACCCTGGAAGGAGGGAAAGGAGGGAAATTTATTATCAGTGGACTCCAGTTCTTTAGAGAGCCAAGGTTTCATGACAAACCCCTCACCATATGTTTAGCTCAATAAAGCATGCATATTTATATGTTCTTTTCTGACTGAATTTTTACAAAATGATACTGGACTCAGATGAAGCCAGTATAACCATGTTTCCAAGTATATTTGATGAGGGATCAGAAAACCTGTGTTCAAATTCTTCATTTACTACCAATTGAATTTCCAACTTTGGGAAAGTATTCTTACCTGTGAGAGCTTTACTCTCCTCATCCATACATTGAGAAAAGTTGCAAGAATTTATGTGTCGTTTATTCTTATTATTATATCAACCTCAAGAATAAAGATTGCCAGTGTACTTTTAGTAACTGCCATTTGATAGGCACTGTTCTAAGCATCCACTATATGAAAGGATGTTCTAAGCATCCACTATATGAAAGGAATATTATTACTTCTGTTTTATGGAGGAAGACATTGCGGTGCAGAGTTTCAGTCTGTTGTTCAAGGTCACACAGCTGGAAAGTCATGGCGCTGGAGCCCAATTCCTGAATCCATGACTGTAATGGTTCTGCTATGCTGCAATTAAGACTCAGCCTTTCTCTTGCTGCATGTTCTAACAACTCATACAGAGATTAGTTCTAAGAAAACAAATCCGAAGAGTTAATGAGAAAACTATAGGTAGATATGGAGAATTATCTGTAAGAGTACAAATGCAAAAGACAAGCACAAGTTCTTGAAATAGCTAAAAGTTTTGATAACTGATTACTTCTATGTACCATGATGTGACTATATCTGCATATTACTGGGTGACGGCAAATGCAAGGAGAAAAGAGGCCGCTACTACGTTCTTAGGTGTCCTTTTTTTCTCTGAATATAATACCTAGTACGCAGCATTGATGCCTTCCATTTTAATTTCACAGATGAAAGAACTCGGTGTCATCTTCTACAACTGCAGCTGTCTGGTCCTAGATTTACAAAGGATATTTGCTTTATATAGTTCATTAAAATTCAAGAGCAGAGTACCTCAGACCTGGTCCAAGAGACTCTATGGAGTCTACGACAATGAAAAGAAATTGCAGCTTCAGTTGAATGAGACCAAATCCCAAGCATTTGTGTCGGTGAGTTGCTTGACCTCTCTCTCCTCTTCTTCCTCCAAAGGCTTTGTTTTAAGCTGGAATGTTTCAGTATGGTGTTGTATTGGGCAAAAGCAAATCGGATAAATTGGCTGTGTCCCATACTTCCAAGAGTTAAAATGTTCCTTGCTCTTAAGCTAATCATTTGCTGTCCCTAATAATAACAATAAGAAATTTTTAGAATCATTCTTAATTTCAGATACTTTATCTCATTAGACCCCTACCATCATCCTGGAGGGTAGGCAAAGGACTGTGACTGTGTTACAAATGAAGACATTGCAACCAGCTTGAAGTCCATCAGATGGGAAGTGTCAAGAGAGACATCAGCTCTCGGGTGTCCTGACATCAGAATCTAGTAGCCTCTTTTTGGTGTTTTACAGCAGTGATATTCAGACTTGTTTTTAGCAGTAGAACCCACTGAGACACATATGAGAGAATCCAAGCATATACTACAGCAGAGCAGCTTTGCTTGACTGGGGTTGGAGGGAAAGACTGAAAACCTCTAGCTCACATCCATTCCACATCCCTCACCTCCCCAGGCCACCATGCCACTGCCCACACGTCGCAGCAATGTGAATATCTGGGCCTATAGCCCTGAATCCTTGAATTTAAGAATCAGCTTGGCAGTCTGTTTAAATTTAGATTGATCGGGGCACCGGATTCTGTCCTGGTTGCCCCTCTTCCAGTCCAGCTCTCTGCTGTGGCCTGGGTAGGCAGTGGAGGATGGCCCAGGTGCTTGGGCCCTGCACCCCATGGGAGACCAGGAGAAGCACCTGGCTCCTGCCTTGGGATCAGCGTGGTGCACCGGCCGTAGCGCGCCAGCTGTGGCGGCCATTGGAGGGGAACCAACGGCAAAGGAAGACCTTTCTCTCTGTCTCTCTCACTATCCACTCTGCCTGTCAAAAAAAAAAAAAAATTTAGATTGACAATGCAAGCTCATCTACTACATCCAAGGTGAGACTTCTGGAGTCAAATTTGAATCAAGCTTCTGAACTGATCCTGATGCTCAGAGAAACTTCTCTAAACCATGCTCCCAATTTAACATTGCTGTTCTATCCATTGACTAATATTAGTACTTTTTATGTCAAAAACCCTTAGTCACTTAAGAGCATTTTTATCAAAGATGAATTGGATCGATTTTGTCTTCTCAAATGAAAGTACAATCTGAAATTTTAGAAAAATAACATTAGAGGAAAAAAGAAGTTGAAGTTGTGTTAAATATCAAATTCACAGAAGTGTGAATAGCAGAAAATAGACTATGAATGAATTTCATCAAATAGAGCCAAAGAAAATGTTTTTCTTATTTTCTGTGGATGAAGGTCAAGAATAGTAACAAGTAACATTGCATAGGATGTTGTACTAACAAAATGACTCCAAATATAAATCTTCATGGCTTCTCAAGACAACTCTCTAATAGAAAAAAATGCCAGGTAGTATTCCCAGTTTTGGGATGAGCAATAATAGAACATTTACCAAGGAACCTTTAATACAGATGATTATTGGGTAACATGACATCCCAAGCAAGGGCACTTGCTCAGCCAGATGCAGCAGGAACAAGTGGGCAATCGATGGATAAATGAATGTGACTACTGTATATAGTAAATTCTTGCCTATAAAAAGTTTTCTTTTGTTGATTCTGAAGTTAACATATCTACCACAGAGAGGTACCTTGGGCCTTTAGTAAAACATACTAAAATGCAAGGCCTTTGATATACCCTAGGGTAAATTCAGAAACTGCCTTTTGGTAAATGTTTGCCACAAAATGAGTCTGAAGCATTTTTTTTTTCAGAGCCTTTGAATCAAGGTGAAACACTTTTTCTTTTTTATTATTTTCTATTTACTATTAGTAATATCAAACCTGTCTGATTTTAGATTTGATATATATATATATATTGATTTGGCATCATTTTTGAAGAGGTAGAAGTTAGTTCAGACATTTTAGAAAGTCAGAGAACCTCTGCCATTAGAACTAGTATCATTCAGTCACAGTTTTTGCTTTTAACTCTGCAATAGACTTTATCACATTTTTGTCGCTCCCCCTCTTCATGGAGGAACGACACAGGACCCTGCGCTGTTCTTTCGTCTGCTCGGCCCTCCCCGGGTTTGCTGCTGGTTCTTCCCGGGTTGGCTACTGTCCCTTCCACCTCCGTGGAAGGGCGGTTCCCCCTGGCCACATTCCCCACTTCCGCAGGGGAGCGGCACACCGCCGGCCGGCTCTCTCGGGGGCTGCACAGGTGTTCCCCTTAGATGTTCCCCTTAGATGTTCCTGGTGCATGCCGTCTCTCTCCTCCTTTATAGTCCTCCTCTGCCAATCCTAACTCGGCTGCCCACACGCCGAGTACGCTGCTCTCCTCCAATCAGGAGCAAGTCCTACAGTTTATTGGCTGAACTGGAGGCAGCTGTGCAGAAGCTGTTTTCTCCTCTCCCAGCGCCATATTGTGGGAGAGCAGATGCATAGAATAAGTCTTAATTCCAGTAACAGTATAGTCCGAGTTGCTCCCCACAGATCCCCCTTTCTTTTTATTTTTTGGCGTTGATACGCGCCTGTCTTTGGTGTCCCATGGCACACACTCTGCTCTACTTGCTAGAGTTGCCACAGGTTCTTACAAGTCCTATCAATCAGGCAAACCGAATCCGGGTCCTCTCTTCGCCATGTTGTGAGGAGGTTTTTAGGCGCTGATGCGTGCCTGTCTTCGGTGACCTGTGGCTCATACTCTGGTCGAGCCGCCTGCTGGTGCTTACCGCCTTAATCAGGCAGACCGAATCCAAGCTTTCTCATTGCCATATTGTGGGGAGGCCTTTCTATTTCTCTATTTCTTTATCTCCGGGCATTCCTATTTCTCCCATTTTACTTCTATCTTCCAGCATTCCTATTTTTCTCATTTTACTTCTAAACTTCTGTTTCTCTTATCCCCGCGGCTTCCCGGCGCCCGCCCCGAGGCCGCTTCTCGGCGGCTTTCTGGCTCTGAGCCGCTTCAGCCCGCGCCTCTCTCATCTGCGCGGCTTCGCGGCTCTGCGCGGCTCGGCTTCGCGCGCACACTCCGCGGTCTCTCACTAGCCCCGCGTTCCCTATCTACTTGAGCCCCGCACGCTCTGTCTGCGCGCGGCAGCCTCTGCGAGTCACACAGCGTAGCTTGCGTCTCCGCCACTAGTATTCAATCCAAGTTCCCCGGGCTAACCTGGCGAATTCAACCCAGCTCACGTCTCCGCCCCACGATTTGGCTTCCCGTCCTTTGCTCCCCGGGCTAATCAGACAGATCCCAACCGGGCTTACGTTTCCGCTTCTGGTTTTAACTTTTTGCCCCCTATTCCCAGGCTAACTTGAGAATCCCAAAGTGGCTTTCGTTTCCGCCTCGGCCTGCCCCCCGCGGCTTCAATTTCCCTAACATTTTTCTCTACCCGGTATGTTTCCCCAAGCTTTCCTCCAACAATACTCCTCCCTCATTTCTCCTGGCCTCTCCCCACAGTACGCATCCGAGTCTGTTTGTTCTAGCTTTCACTTTCGCTTTCAACCTTAGAGATTTCTCCCAACTTCCCCCCGTAGTCCGTATCTGAGTCTATGCCTAGGCTTTCAATAGCTTCTTCCGGCACCTTTTTCGTCCGGCTTTTCCCTAGGCTGTTTGCTAGTCTCTCTCTCCAGTATTTTCCACTTCTTCCCGTTTCTTCCCTCCTAGGTTTCCTATCCGAGTCACGGCACCATTATGTCGCTCCCCCTCTTCATGGAGGAACGACACAGGACCCTGCATTGTTCTTTCGTCTGCTCGGCCCTCCCCGGGTTTGCTGCTGGTTCTTCCCGGGTTGGCTACTGTCCCTTCCACCTCCGTGGAAGGGCGGTTCCCCCTGGCCACATTCCCCACTTCCGCAGGGGAGCGGCACACTGCCGGCCGGCTCTCTCGGGGGCTGCACAGGTGTTCCCCTTAGATGTTCCCCTTAGATGTTCCTGGTGCATGCCGTCTCTCTCCTCCTTTATAGTCCTCCTCTGCCAATCCTAACTCGGCTGCCCACACGCCGAGTACGCTGCTCTCCTCCAATCAAGAGCAAGTCCTACAGTTTATTGGCTGAACTGGAGGCAGCTGTGCAGAATCTGTTTTCTTCTCTCCCAGCGCCATATTGTGGGAGAGCAGATGCATAGAATAAGTCTTAATTCCAGTAACAGTATAGTCCGAGTTGCTCCCCACAATTTTCATAACTACTTGTTTATGGTCTCCCTTTCCACTGTTTTATAGGACTTTGAGGATCATATACAATACTCTTCATTGTTGTTATTCCCAGAACAATACTTGGTACTCTCTGAAATCATCCATAAATATTGGGTTGCTTTTATTACAAGTAATATTGATAGAAAGTTTCACAATGCATATAGTTTCTTTAGTAATGCATGACCAAACAAATACCAAGGCAAATTCATTTAAATTCAATAAATTTGTCACAAAATATTGTAAAATAGAGTATGTTCATAAGCTGACAGTCACAAGAATAAATTTAAAGTGGATAAGAATATTTAAAGTCCTTAAGAAAAAGCCTCTCCCAAATTAGATGTTAGATCATTGATAATTAAACATAGTTAAATATAAATCTTAAGTTAGTATATATATTTTTTAGAGATTTATTTGTTTACTTGAAAGTCAGAATTACACAGAGAGAGAGGTAGAGACAGAAAGAGAGGTCTTTCATCCACAGGTTCCCTCCCCAGATGCCCGCAACGGCCGGAGCTGCGCTGATCTGAAGCCAGGAGCTTCTTTGGGTCTCCTACATGGGTGCAGGGGCCCAAGAACTTGGGCCATCTTCCACTGCTTTCCCAGACCATTAGCAGAGAGCTGGATAGGAAGTGGAGCAGCCGGGACTCAAACCAGCACCCATATGGGATGCCGGCACTGCAGGCAGCGGCTTTACCACTACGCCATAGCGCCAGCCCCTATAGATTGTCATAATTTTCCTGTGGAACATAAATAGGTATTTGGTTGGATTTAACTGTGTGATTTCCT